AATAATAGGCTTTGTGGACTATGCTCCAAAGAATTTGAAAATGATATACATTTTATACTGAAAAGCACCATACACACAGAAAATATACTTCTGAGACTAGACGCTACATAAATTAGAAGTAAACACTTTAAATACCTTCAACAGTGTGGCTTTTAAGTGATAAATAACATAAACCACGATACAATATGAAAATATAAATAAATATATTCTAAACCAACCACCACCCAGTGAAGTAAATCAAATTATTATATATCCTCAGTATGATAAAAGCCACATATGTGAAAATGAGCTAGCTAGTACTAGTACCCTAGTTAAAGAATACATATCTTAAGCTCAGAGTCATTGTTAAATATACTTGAACACACATACACACACACATAAAAGCAGGAATGCATAATAATAATAATAATAATAATAATAATAATAATAATAATAGATTAATCACACATATGACTTACATAGCCGTTGAAGTGTAGGTCCACACAATAACATTGCAACTGTTGCCGCGTGTCGGAAAAAAGAGAGATATGCAAAAAAATTAATAGAATTTTACAGATGCTCCTGAAGGTCAATCAATTAAGTCAAGATGGTGATTTATTAAAAGAAGGTGTAACATCCATTTTAATGTCATGAAACCGTTTTAACAAATGTTGCATATGTATACTAAGATTAGCGTTACAAATTATTTTAGTACAATGTATATGAAACAAGAAGTAGGGGCTATGATAATATCTCTGACAAAGTATTTCTTTTAACTATTAACTTATTATCATTGGAATTCTTTAACCAAATATAATTTCCCCTAAAACACAGTTCTTATACTTTGTGCTTATAGTGCAATTTGGTTCTTACAGTGCCATTAAGCACAACTTAGTTCGTACAGTTACATTTTCTAATACATGCACTAAACGAGTTCGTAAGTGCCGTTTCCGAAGTGACGATATTTCATCACCGCCTCAAGCTTGCTGCTGTTTCCGTCTTCTTTTCCATTTTGGATCCCAAATCCACTGGCTTTCACGTACAGGATCTTCAGGTTGTCAGAGACGTAACCTTCCAACTTCACCGGACGCATATCACCCGAGGCAGATGGGCAGATGTCTGGCAAATCTACGGCAATTAGACGCTGGTATTCTTCCGCGGACATTTCACTCACTTTGCGCAGCTCCTCTACATAGTGCTGCTCGATGACTTCTACAGGGAGAAAAAACTAACTTCAGACGATATAGAAATGCTGGAACTTTTTCAGTGACATTTTTTAATCGTGGGAAACACAGGGTCATTATTTTAAGAAGCCATGTATGGTTGGATCCTTGTGGACACACACGCATACACACGTGCACACACAGAGAGGCACGCACACACAAAAAAAGGTGAGTCCAATCTGATTCCTTTCAGAGTGGGGAGAGAAACACCCTAAATAGCAAACAGAAGCATTATTTTTACCCTCAGTAAATCGAAACAGTTTTGAGTTTTTGTCATGAATATTTGAAGAATCATGTGTGTTTTGTTGATTTTTGATTTACCTGCCGTCTTAACTAATTCTGCAGCTTTTAAAGCGTCAATTAACATTTTCACTGACGCTTCTGATTTCTTATTTCTCCACAAAGAAAGGATCTGGAAGCGTTGCTCCAAAGGGTTGAATTGGTGTGTCATATCAATGTCGTCTATTTCTATATCTCCTATGCCAAGGTGATATCTAGCCAACATGCGGCAATCGTCCAGTTTGATGTGATCACACAGCTTGAGGAAGGCTCTCTTAAGGAGGTGGTCCTGATGAAGAGAACGAAAAAAGGAAAAGAGAAGGAAATATATTATTACAAACCAACACAATAAACTGGATACTAAATACATTATGCGATCATTTAAATTATACATAAGTCGCCGCATCTTTAATGGGAAAGAGTGAATAGTTTTTAGATTTTTTTTATAAAACAGAAAATCTGGATTTGAGAGATATACTGTGTTTTTCTTCAATGACACCTCATGTTACTGTATAAAAACTGTATTGAGGACATACCGCAACCTTGTAAAAATAAAATAAAAATAATAATAATAACAGTAATAAATAAATAAATAAATAAATAAATAAAATGACAGAAGGATTTTTATTAGGGTATTTAAGGTTGCTGTAGAAATGTTTGCTAAAAAATCTGGCATACCTGAACACCTGGGTTGTTAAATCTACACAGGTATTCTGCAATCACAGTTAGGCCCTTCTTTTTTGCAAGCGTGTACGGGGTTAATTCCCTCTATAAATAAGAAAAAAGTTGATCTTACCCTAGAGTGTCTATTCATACATCCCTTATCTATCTATCTATCTATCTATCTATCTATCTTAGATACTGTTTATCACGTGTATCAAGTTAATATTAGAATAATTAAGTAAAGGTCAGGGTAAAAAATTCTAAATCGACCAATCTTTTAAACATTATATAAAAAGGCAGGCCTACGTTGAGCCTGGACTGCAGCGCATATCCAATAGTATATACATTTTAGCTAGTATTATTTATTTTGCTTTACTTTTGTTTACTTTCGGCAAATTAAGATGTCAGACAAAGAGTATATAAGAATGGAGAAATGATGTATTGCCAAGTTGTTTTATAAATGACAGCCGACACACACCCAAGCATATGTCTTTTAACACACTAACCCAATCTGATACGTTGGGATCCGCCCCGTGCTGGAGGAGAAGCTGGATACACTGTGTAGCACCATGTTCTGCAGCCAAGTGTAGTGGTGAACGTCCTATCTGTGGGTTTTAAAAACGTGACAATTTTGATGTATAATTAGTTGATTTTAATTAGTCATATTTCATTATTTTATTTTCACATAGTTCACTGTTTGTAAATAGTGTTTATGATTGGTCATTAGGCCTTATAATAATAGCTATTCTAAGTCAGTAATTATCAATTGTATAAAGGACGTTTAATGTATATGTATATGTTGCTGTTGTGATGAGAAACTGTAAGATTTGGCTGCAAAATAAATGTCACAGTGAATTGATATAATGTTTTAATACTTAAGTTCAAAAAAGGCACAAACCCAAGCATACGTGGACTCACTTACCGCATCCTGTTTATTGGGATTAGCCTTATGTTGGAGGAGAAGCTGGACACATTGTGTGGCACCTCGCTGTGCAGCCCAGTGTAGTGGTGTACGTCCACGTGCACTCTGTGGATTCAAAAATTATGATAATTTTAATGCAAAATATGTCTTTATTTTATGATCATTCGTCTATATTCTCATATAATTTAACAATTTACTGTATATCAATAGGGTTAATGTATGACATTTAGACCTTACTTATTGATTTTAGTCCGGATCATTTTGCGATATGAAATTTAAAGATTTGGCAACAAAATTGTGTAAATAAATGTGATTTAAAGTTACATACAATGTATTCACAGTAATGTTAAAACAGCGTACATACCAGTAGGAAAAAACTCTTCCCTTCGCACTGTATATTGGGATCAGCCCCGTGCTGTAGGAAGAGCTGGACACACTGTGTGTTACCTTGCTTTGCAGCGCAGAGAAGTGGTGTACATCCTAACTGTGGATTTTAAAAACGTGATTACTTTGATGCATAATTAGCTTTTTTTATTAGTCATATTTTATTTTAACACAGCCCACTTTTTGTAAGTAGTATTTATGGGTGGTCATCAGGCCTTATAATAGTAGCTATTCTAAGTCCTTTATTATCAATTGTAGGAACGACTTTAAATTTGCTTTTGTCATGGGATATTATAGAATACGGAAGCAAACTATGTGTCTTAGTGAATGTGATTTTTTAAAGTTTGATGATAATTTTGATGCAACATCTGTCTTTATTTTATAATAATTAGTCTATATTCTTATATAGTTAAACAATCTACTGTATGTAAACAGGTTTATTTATGATCATTACACCTTACTAATTGATTTAAATGCGGAATATTTTGCGATGTGTCAATGAATGTGATTTAAAGTAAAATACAATGTATTGATAGTAATGTTATAACAACGTACATGCCATGACATCCCTTCGCACTGTACATTGGGATTTGCCCCGTGCTGAAGGAGAAGCTGGACACACTGTGTGGCACCTCGCTCTGAAGCCAAGTGTAGTGGTGAACGTCCCCACTGTGGGTTTTAAAAACGTGATTATTTGGGTGCATTATAAGTTATTTTATAATTTATAATTATTATTTTATAATTAGTGTGTGTTCATTTTCACACAGTCCACTGTTTGTAAATAATGTTTATGGCTGGTCATAAAGCCTTATAATAATAGATATTCCAAGTCCGTAATTATCAATTGTAGAAAGGACGTCAAATGTATTTTGCTGTTGTCATGGGAAATTGTAAGATTTGGCAGCAAAAAAAGTGTAACAGTGAATATTTTCTTAAGTTTGATATAATGTTTAAATACGTAAGTTAAAACAGGGCACACACTCCATGTAAATGTCCACTCGCATACTTACCTCATCCTGTATGTTGGGATCTGCCCCGTGCTGGAGGAGAAGCTGGACACACTGTGTGTTACCTTGCTTTGCAGCCAAGAGAAGTGGTGTACGTCCACGTACACTCTGTGGATTCAAATATAATGATAATTTTGATGCAACATCTGTCTTTATTTTATAATAATTAGTCTATATTCTTATATAGTTAAACAATCTACTGTATGTAAACAGGTTTATTTATGATCATTACACCTTACTAATTGATTTAAATGCGGAATATTTTGCGATGTGTCAATGAATGTGATTTAAAATAAAATACAATGTATTGATAGTAATGTTATAACAACGTACACGCCATGATATCCCTTCGCACTGTACATTGGGATTTGCCCCGTGCTGAAGGAGAAGCTGGACACACTGTGTGGCACCTCGCTCTGAAGCCAAGTGTAGTGGTGAACGTCCGCACTGTGGGTTTTAAAAACGTGATTATTTGGGTGCATTATAAGTTATTTTATAATTTATAATTATTATTTTATAATTAGTCCGTGTTCATTTTCACACAGTCCACTGTTTGTAAATAATGTTTATGACTAGTCATAAAGCCTTTTTATAAAAATTATTCCAAGTCCGTAATTATCAATTGTAGGAAGGATGTTGAATGTATGTTGCTTTTGTGATGGGAAATTGTAAGATACGGCAGCAAAATAAATCTCACAGTGACATTTTTAAATGTTTGATATAATGTTTTAATAGAGAAGTTTAAACAGACCACACACCTCAAGCACATTTCCTCGCATACTTACCCCGTCCTGTACATTGGGATCCGCCCCGTGCTGGAGGAGAAGCTGGACACACTTTGTGGCACCTTGCTCTGCATCCAAGTGTAGTGGTGTACGTCCATCTTCACCCTGTGGATTCGAAAATTATGTTAACTTTGATGCAAAATCTTTCTTTATTTTATGATAATTAGTCTTTATTATTACATAATTAAACAATCTACTGTATGTAAACTGGGTTAATGTATGATCATTAGACCTTAATAATATTGATTTTAGTCCGGAATATTTTGTGATATAAAATTGTAAGATTTGGCAATAAATAATATGTCAATGAATGTAATTTAAAGTAACATACAATGTATTCATAGTAATATTAAACAGCGTACGCCCCATAGCCTTGTAAACAATCCTTTCCTTTTGCCCTGTATATTAGGATCCGCCCCGTGCTGGAGGAGAAGCTGGACACACTGTGTGGCATCTTGCTTTACAGCCAAGTGTAGTAGTGAACTTCCTAACTGTGGGTTTGAAAATATGCAGCTTTTTCTTAGCAAAATTATCCTTAATAAATAAGTACACCATATTTATTAATAGAGAATTAAATTAATTTAATTCGTAAATTAAATTAAGTCATGATATTAAGCCCTACGTTTCTATAATTCTTGTCTTAAAAATAGTTACTTTAGGTTCAATCAAGTTTTAGCTAGTGGACGTCAAAGCATTTCACATTTTGATTAGACACTGAAAGATTAATTCATTACCTCGTCAGTTGTGTTGACATCCAAGGTCCCGGCTCTCAGTAGGTTCGTTAACTTCTGCAAGTCTCCGTCCGCAGCAGCTTGGCAGAGATCCATTACAGACATCCTGGCAGTTGACTTAATTCTCTGAAGAACACATGAAAAGTATTTATAGTACATAAGAACTATTTTATCCTAAATTGATTTAGATATACCTGTTAGAATTTATAGTCTTATTGATAAGTTACGTACTGCTGCCTGCCATTTTTTTGGCGATTTTTTTTGTTAGCTAGTTAATTAGATAGTTATGGAAACCACTGTCCCTACAATAACTATGGTTTTGAAGTAATAATTCTGTACACCCCTCATAAAGTGTATTGAATTCTTGAACAAACACAGTGTGATTGGCTACCTCTACATCTTCTGGCAATATGTTTCACCCCCTATCTATATTCTTACAATCATTATGTTACTTTATATTTTTGTTATCTTTAAATTATGCTCGGTTGTTCAACAACTCAGTATTGTTATTCAGTGCATTGTTAATAGTAGATTTATCAACATGTTGTTGATAATGGATTGAGATGAACTGGATCAATATTATCTTAACATTCTTGAGTGAGGAGTGCAGTAGACACGTTTTCATTATTTTATCTCAACAATATTATAAGTGCCTCGGCCGAATGTAAGAGTATTTTGCAAGATCTGGCGGAATTTTTAGGAAAATCCCAGAGCCTATGGGCAGTCCAAAGAAAGAGCAGACAATTATCCGCATAAACGTGCTTCTTCAATATAACGGCCTCTTCTCTAATGGGTTTAGAAATGAACGACAACCTTTGGAAATTGTCTCATATCTAAATATTCCCATACACCGCACTTACTGTAACATATTTCCCAATACTTAGCTAAACATTCAACTAAAACGGACAACTTTTAATTACATTATTAGTAGAAATAGAGGAGACGTTTTACTCATCTGAACCGGAGAAGTTATATGCAAAGTGTGTCGGCGCAAGCCCACCTCACATTATCCTCTACGTAAACAACAGGGCGAGAGCGTCATTGGTAATCTCTTGTATTGGGTGGTCGTATTCTTTTATAACGAAGGCCTTATTGTATCACAATAGACATAAATATTACTAATAAAGCTATTCTTTACAACAAATCATGCAAAATTTAATTTCGTCACATTTACTTACCGGAGATGCAAAAAGCGTCTTCCCTCTTTTGCTTTTAGATTAAAAGTGTAGGATATTCTTATCAGTCACGAGGCAAGTCGAAGGCGATCTGATAACGTAAGGGTCATAAAGACGTAAAATTGCGATTGAATAGATGCATAACTGCTTATTAAAAAAAAAAAAAAAAAAAAAATATATATATATATATATATATATATATATATATATATATATATATATATATATATATATATATATATATATATATATATATATATATA